TATTCTTTTGAACTCAGTATTTCCAAATACCATGTCAACATGTCATCAATATAGAAATTATTAGTGAGCTGTGTGCATATTTTACACTTAGCAAATCTCTATTCAGGCCCTTAGCGCATCTCTATTCAGGCGCTTAGCGCATCTCTCTTCAGGCGAGCTCATCACACCTCATGGTTTTCACTAGCCTCCCCCCACAACCCCATTCATATTTCATTAGCCCCATCTCAGCAGACACTGGGGCTTAGGACACTTACTGATCTGGTCATTTTGCCTGTTTTCTCATGGAACTTTGCATTCTTTTAAAAAGACTGGCTTCACCACAGTAATCTCTTGAGCACCAGAATCCCATTTAAAAGGTAGATATACTTTACAGTTTAGAAAACACATTGACAGCACTATTCTAAGTAACAGCTATCCTGCAAATGTGTTATTATCTCCCTTAATCCACAGAAGGTTACATGGGGCAGTGTCCTCTCTAGTTCACCATTCCAAACTAGAACCTGTGAATTTGTGCAGGCCGTCACGCAAGGGCCTCCAACTTCATGAGCACCCTCATCATTCCAAGACCAGCATGATTTCTTTTACACATCAGAAATTCTTGAAATACTGTCCAGAGAGCACCATTTTACTCCAGCCCCGCCAACTTTCCCCCACCAGAAACAGCACATCCCTGCTTCTTCCCCGTAGGTGCTGGGTCACTGGGCCTGGCCAGGGGCTCACGCCCTGAGAGGCCCACGGGGTGGGACAGCCCTGAAGAGTACTAGGGCCCTGTTCCCATCTCAGGGTCACACAGGGTCACATGGGGATAGAACAGAATGCAGTTGGTGTTGCCTACCCTCGTTAAGTTCCTCCTGCAGTTTTTTTAATCCAGACATCATAGTTTATGCAAGTTTGCCTAAGTTAAACACACAAATGATCAAGGTTCTCTATTCCCCCAGTTAGAGGATGGTTTTCAGCCAGGTGGAAGCAGGTAAATCCTACTGAATCTGGAGTCGGGCGTGTGCAAACGGGTTCATCTCTTCCTAGAGCTACCAAATCATGCTTAAGATCTCTTAATTTGTGAGAGATGCATTCCTTCTCAAAACAGTCTTCAGTCGGGGCGCCTACGTGGCTCAGTCGGTTAAGCATCTGCCTTCGGCTCAGGTCATGATCTCAGGATCCTGGGATCGAGTCCCACATCGGGTTCTCCGCTCAGCAGGAATCTGCTTCTCCCTCTGCTCCTCCCCACCGCTTGTGTTCTCTCTCTCTCTCTCAAATAAATAAAATTTAAAAAAAAAAGGCTTCAAATAAACCAGAACTCCTTGGACATATTAGGTGCTCACAGAGTTTATTTGAATCACATGATCACTTAACGAAGGAAGAGAGACAGAGCAGCTTAAGGGCATTAAAAGTCAACCAGAAACAAGGGTAAACTCTTAGTCACAGAGAATTAAGATTAAAAAAAAAATTGTTTTGGGATATTTATAAGATCATAACGTTAGTGTTGAAATGTCATTTAAAAATATGTTTAGAAGACCAAGAACAACCCATTATGTGTACCTAACCACCTCCATTCCATATGTCCTATCTTATCAATTCTTCGTAAGACAGAAATCTCTCAGGAATGGATTCTCTAAGTAGAAATCAAACTGCTTCTTTTCCATTTATCAACACGTTCGTTTTTGGTTTCTCATTTCCTAGTGTTTTAAGAAAATGGAATAACAATTACTCACCCATGCTCAGAAGCACACTGGATTCTTATTTTTGTAAAATACTAACTTTGAGGCTGATGCAAGCTGGCTCTGCTTGTCCCTTGCTCATAGCCCTTGCAGAAGAGTTGAGGTGGGGTGAGGTGGGGAGGGGCAGTGTCCCCGGCTAATAATGATGGATCAGCATTAACAGTGGAGATGATAAGATCAAGATACTCGTTGTACTTCAATAGCTTAAGCAAGATCTCCGCTTTTCTTATTTGCCCAGTGACAGCTGCAGCATTGTGCATTTAATTACAGAGAGAGAGAACAATTATCATTTGCAGAGTAGCGCAGGTGATGATGCTCACCCTACTCCCCAGAGTGGGTGTGAGCAAGATGTTTGAATCTGCTGTTCCCTCAAGAGGTCCTGAGCATGGGCGCCTGGGTGGCTCAGTCGTTAAGCGTCTACCTTCGGCTCGGGTCATGATCCTGGGGTCCTGGGATCGAGTTCCACGTCGGGCTCCCTACTCAGCGGGAAGCCTGCGTCTCCCTCTGCCTCTCCCCCTGCTTGTGTTCCCTCTCTTGCTGTCTTTCTCTCTGTGTCAAATAAATAAATAAAATCTTTAAAAAAAGAGAAAAAAAAAGGGCGCCTGGGTGGCTCAGTCGGTTGGGTGACTGCCTTCGGCTCAGGTCATGATCCTGGAGTCCCGGGATTGAGTCCCGCATCGGGCTCCCTGCTCAGCGGGGAGTCTGCTTCTCCCTCTGACCCTCCCCCCTCTCATGCTCTCTCTCTATCTCATTCTCTCTCTCAAATAAATAAAATCTTTAAAAAAAAAAAAAAAAAGAGTTCCTGAGCTTGTGTGTGGCTCCCACATCGCAAACAACTTGGCTGTTTTATGACCACTTTGCTTGAAGATTCTAGCTCCTTCATTCTTTTATTCTTATCCTTATTTGTTTTGTACACTATTACTCCTAAACGCAAGCCCCTAGTTCACCTGGTGTTTAGCTAAAGAAATAACAATCTGTTTTATGGCTGGAGTAAAAAAAAAAAAAAGAAGGTCTATGTTGGATTTGAACTTTGTACTAGAGCGACTTCTGGATGATTTTAGAGATGCTCGAGGGTAATTTTCAGGGAACTTGATGGTCACCTACGTGCTGGCTTTGTAATGGAAGCCTAAGTGCGATGTGAAGGATCGCAAGAGAGACTCTGCACAATGGTGGTGGGGGAACAGATGTGTGGTGGGATCGGGGGCTGTGGGATCTCACAGGAGCTCGCATTAGGAAATGGACAGTCATGGCCACGGGCACTCAGAATGTATGCTGAACTGGGCATCTTGCGAGTAGAAGAGCGGGTCTGGAGCTAAGGTGGGTGGAGTGGAGGGCGGCTGGCACGCGGGCTGTGAAGGGCGCCCACTGCATGCCAGCCTAAGGCGTTTGGACTTGATCCCGGAGATGCATTCAGCCATCAGTTCACTCAAGAAGCGAGGCAGATTCGGGCCCCATTCTCACAGAGTTGATGAGGGCTGAGCTGGCTACCCTGGGAGGCCCGGGTGGGTTCGTTGATGTACACGTGCACACACACCTCCAACAATTATAAAATGTAACATCTGCCCATGCGCAAAAGCCGGCAACACGAAAGGGCGTGTCCCTGTTTCTCCTCCGTAGACATAATCATTGGTATCTATTTCTTATGTGCCCTACAGATACTCCCTGCACACACACTATATATACACAAAGTATTCTTCACTTCACCTCCTCTTCATTAATGACGTTATCTTGGAGTTGATGCTAAATTACACTTGACCCTTGAATAACTCGGGGTTTGAACTGCATGGGTCCACTTACATGTGGAGTTTTTTTTCTATAAATAGAGTTCAGGACTGTAAATATATTTTCTCTTCCTTATGATTTCCCAAATAACCTTTTCTTTTCTCCAGTTTAAGAATACAGTATATAATATGTATGACATGCGACATCTGTGTTAATCAACTGTTTATGTTAGTGGGAAGGCTTCCAGTCAGCAGTAGGCGGTTAGTGAAGTTTTGGGGGAGTCAGAGTTATATGTGGATTTTTGACTGCATGTGGAGGTGGTGACGCCCCAACCCCCACGTCGTTCAGGAGTCAACTGTATTTCACTGCGATCTACTGCATCCCTTTATTGGCGGCAGAGCTTGGTGGTGTCAAATGTGCCTTAATGTAGTGAGTTCCCTACTGACGCGCACTGAGGTTGTGTCCAGTCTGTTTGGGGAGTGAGACGCAGCTGCAGAACCTCGTCTTGGGGGCATGTTTTTGCACGCATATCCAAGGGTAGTTTGGGAATTGATTCCTGGAAGTGGAGGTGTTTGGTGACAGTTTGTGCGTCTGAAGTACCCTAGCTGTGGCTTCATTGCCCACCAGAGTTTTTACCAGTTTACCCACTCAGAATAATGGACAGGCGTGTTTATTTCACAAAGCCTTAGGCAGACTTTTGATCTTTACAAATATTCTACATAAAAAAGATGACTGAAGTCCAGCACCATTTCCTGTATCTAAAAGCCCAGGTGAATTTCTTTTTCGAAGGCCTGCAATGTTAGGTCCATCCCTAATTTGCCATCAAGTTGTTACTTTTTTTTCTTCTTATTGATTTATGAGAGCTCTTTATTTATTAAGTAAATTAGCTTCTTTCTTTCTGTTAAGTGTTTTAAGTAGTCTTTCTCAGTTTCTTATCTGTCTTTTGATTTTGCTCATGCTGTGTCATCATTCAGAAAATTTCTTTTATTAGATTTGTATTTTAGATTTATGTTACAAGGAACTGAACCAGGATGAAAAGAAAGATATGTTCTTGAAAGATATTTTGGAGGCAGAATGGAAAGGCCATGAAATATCTTTGGAAGCTATGATAATGGGTGACTTTGGAAGTCTTTATTAAGAACTGGATTTCAGATGCCTAAAAGCAAACTTTGGGTATCATCCATAATTAAGGGACAGGAGAAAAAAGGTGGAGTCAAGGAAATTTAAAAAAGGAGCTTTCTGGCCCAGCAAATGCCACTGAATACTCTCAGTGTGTGCCTTTTGTCTCAGGACTGAATTAGCCCTCATCCCGCTGGCCTTGGTCCCCACGGAGGTCCCAGGGACCGGACACTGGTGGGCGAATCATTATTGCCAGTGATGGTGAGCCTTGTCCTGTATTTTAGGAGGGCTGCCCCTACAGGACAATTCAGAAGATACAGTTTATTAACTTTTTGATTTAAATAATCTTTTGATTTAAGATGTTCATCCCAGTAGCCACCTGTGGCATATTTATCCTTTGCCCTCATCTTTTTCTTTCTCTGTTTATATTTTTTGGTAAAGGGACCATCTAGAAGCTGCCGGCCATGTATGTCTTCTGAAAGATGCCTTTGACCTGGAAAGCTCATCTGAAATCGCCCACCTCATCAAGGCTGAGAACTTGGAGGCAGCATTGGCTCTTCATCTGTACAGAGGAGGCCGACTCTTGCAAGGTAACCTTCTTTCTCTCCAAAGGTGAAACACTGGAAATCATGGAAACCAGAAGCACTTACAGCGTCAAATAAAACAGTTGAGGGGCGCCTGGGTGGCTCAGTCGGTGAAGCGTCTGCCTTCGGCTCAGGTCATGATCCCGGGATCCTGGGATCGAGCCCCACGTCATTGGGCTCCCTGCTCGGCGGGGAGCCTGCTTCTCCCTCTGCCTCTGCTGCTCCCCCTGCTCGTGCTCTCTCTCTGTCTGTCTCTCTCATGAATAAATAAAATCTTAAAAAAAAAACAACAGAGCTGAGATCTCAGTTCATCCTGTTGACCCGGTTCAAACCTGGAAGGATCACCCTCATTTTCTTTGCATTGTCCTTCTTAGGGCCTCATTTTCCAAAAGGATGTAACTCTGCCGACGAGAATGGATGTGTGCTGAAGCCATTGTACCGCCTCCCCAGAGAGCTGTCCTGAATGTCCTGATGTACAGCTCCTCACTCAGAGTATAATTTTCAAAAGTCAAACATACGTGCCTCTTAGAAACACAGAATGGGCATGTATGAAACATTTTATTCCACTGATTTACTAACGAGGCAAACACTAAGATCCTGAAGTAGCTTAAAGAGCACCTGAGGAACTGGGAGTTGAGTGGGTGATTTAATGGAGAATATGAAACTAGGTTGCTAGGTTAGCTACGGAGCAGGGTCACATGCGATGGGCCCTACGGGGCATTAGTCAGGGCTCTCCAGAGAGACGAGCCCAGGAGGACATGTACAGACACACAGAAGAGGAGATTTATCACGGAGACGGGCTTACGTGATGACGGAGGCCCAGAAATCTCGCGGCCTGCCCTCTGGAAGCTGGAGACCCTTTCCGTCCGGGTCTGAAGGTCTGAGAATTGGGGGCTGCTGGTGTCAGTCGCTGTTTGAGTCGGAAAGCCGGAGAGCTGGGAGCCGGCATGGGGGAAGATGGATGTCTCGGCTCAACCTCGCCCTTCTGCTCCAGAGGCCTTGAGCAGATGGGGTAACACCCACTTGCCTCAGTGAGGGCGGACATCTTCCTCCCTCAGTCTGCCAATTCAAATGCTAGTCTCAGCCGGAAACACCCCCACAGACACATGCAGAAATAATGCTTTACCGGCTGTCTGGTTGTCCCTGAGCTCAAACGTAGCGGTAACCATCACCACCGCACAGAAATGATTTACATCGCTACTTGACCCAGACCAGCAAAGTATGTATTTTTTTAAGTAAGCTCTACATCCAACATGGTACTCGCACTCAGAACCCTGAGATCCTGCCATTTGCAACAATGTGGATGGAACTGGAGGGTATTATGCTCAGCGAAATAAGTCAATCAGAGAAAGATAATTATCGTATGATCTCAGTCCTATGTGGGATTTAAGAAAGAAAACAGATGAACATAGGGAAAGGAAAGGAAAAATAAGACGAAAACAGAGAGGGAGGCAAACCATAAGAGACTCTTAATCATAGCAAACAAACTGAGGGTTGCTGGAGGGGAGGGGGGTGGGAGGATGGGGTACCTGGGTGAGGGGCTTTAAGGAGGACATGGGATGTAATGAGCACTGGGTGTTATACAAAACTGATGAGTCACTAAATTCTGCCCCCGGAACTAATAATACACTATATGCTAACTAAATTTAATTTAAATAAATTAAAAAAAAAACAAAACCCAGAGTCCAGTGCTCTCAGGCTGAGCCAGCCAGGCACCCCAAACTGCAAAGTATTTGATGCAGCTTCACAGAGTGTGAGCTCTTAATTAGTAGTAAATAGTGAAGTTGAACAACAGTACTCTCTCTCTTAAAAACTTGACAGATCAATCCCCGGGGGACCTTAAAACACAGTTCCCTCGGTCACTGAAAGGACATGCACGCAGTCCTCGTTTTGACTTCAGCTACAGCTGGGGGCTCTTTCTTCTTAACACTCCCGAGGCCGATGTGACTTCTGTGAAAGCACAGGGGCACCAAGTGAAGGCAGAAGAGACCACTGCGTTGTAGCTGACCGATGAGTGCCTTTTCCCAAACGTGAATTAACTTGACATGGCGGTGGCATCACATTTCGGGAGGCGGGATGTCATTTGAGGGCCAAAATGATCTACGGTCATCTTCATAGGAGAATGGAGCTTCCGTCAGCAGAATGTGCCAAGCTTCGGAAATTTTCGGCAGTCTCATTGCTAAAGGTGACTTTCTGCCTCACTTCCTCTTCCTGCTCTCCCTCCCACCTCCTGCCCCCAACAGGGAGCTGGGGCCTCACTGCATGCTCGCTTCCTGCCTGGGCACATTGGACAAGGTGCTGTTTCTAAAATCTAAGCTGCTACATGCCCACTTCAATCTCCCCCCAGCACAGAGTGAATGTAACTAAATGATCAAAAGCACAAAAAGGAAACCTTTGCCCCACTTCTCATTCCAGCTGTGTAATTTGTTATCCGCCGAGACAACTAGTTATCATTTCCTTGTGTATTCTCCTGGAAATGTATTATAGGGACTGTGCTAGTTATCTGTCATTACGTAACAAATTACCCCCGAAAGTGAGTGACTTGCATTTATATGTAATAGTTTCCGTGGGTGACCAGTAGTGAGTGACTTGCATTTATATGCATTTATATGTAATATAATGCATTTATATGTAATAGTTTCCGTGGGTCTGGAATTCAGAAACAGCTGTGCTGATTCTGTCTCAGGGTCTCTGGTGAGGCTGTAGTCAAGACCACGTAGGATGTGCTCCGGCTGAGGCTGAGTCATCTGGAGGCCTGACTGGTCCCACACGAGCCACCTGCTGTCAGCAGGAGGCCCCAGTGTCTCACCACGTGGGCCTCTGCCGAGGTTGCTCAGTGTCCTCAAGACATGGCAGCCAGCTTCTCCAAGAGACAGCCATCGAAGGGAGAGCGCATTGGAAGCTGATTGGCCTATTATGACCCATCCTTGGAAGCCCTAGGTTCCAGAGCATCTCCTGCTTACACCAATTAGCCCTCTGGGGCATGGGAGGGGACCTCATTGAGCGTGACCACCAGGGACTGGCCTCCATGTAAGCCCAGGCACATATCTATACATATCTCCTCCTTTAAAAAAAACATGAGTGGGAGCATGCTATAAATAGCGTCTTGCTTTTTACCACTATGCATCTGGAGATTTTTCTGCAGCCACGCGTGTACAGATCTGCCTCCTTCTGTCAATGCTTGCAGAACCTTCCAAGCATGGGAGCACCCATCATCTTGCCAGTCTTCGATTAAGGGACATCGGCGTTGTCTTCCATGTTTTTCTCCCACAGTCATGGCAGCGAATATCTCTGTATGGACGTCTCAGCTTAGGAACCTATGAGAATCTACCTGTGCCTCCTTATCTTTGCAACCCTGCTTGAACCATCAGCACAAACTGTTTCTATCAGTGGGGATGGTGTTCGTGAAAGTCTTACTCCCAAGAGCTCTTTTCCTCTGAACAAGCATGACTTGGGATTCTGTTGCAAGTGTCCTGGGAAACAGAGTCTGAGGTCGATCTCAAAAGAGGAAGGAAGTGCAGGGGCCAAGGTACCGTTCATAGCTCTTAAAGCTCTTGGAAGTCTTTACAAGGTTGTCACTGACCATTGTAGGTCAGTTTTGCACTCATAAGGCTTCAGGCACTGGAGTTGGTGAAATCTGTTTACCATCAGGTGTATTATTGTCCATCAAACTACGTGTTTTTAATGTCTTGCACACATACACGTGGAGTATGCTACATGTCCACAAATGGGACGATGCTGTAAGTACACAGCTGAGTGATCTTTCCAAATCAGCAGAGCTCCCCCTGCCTTTTTTCCTGGCTGTGTGGTATTCCACCAGAAGAATGCACCATGTTTATTAAAAATCTGTCTCACATTTTGCTATTGCAGGTAAAGCCACAGCAAGTTTGATTGTATTTTTTACTTCATTCTGGGGGGATTTTGGTGGATTAAATTCCTCGAATAACCTGTGGCCAGAGGACTGTGTATCTTTCATTGGGATTGACAGGGACATGCCCCAGAAAGGTCAGTCCAGTCCATGCTCAACCAACAGACGGAAGGACCTGTTTCCTCTCGCTCTGGTCATATCACCAGGTTTTCTCCTTCAAAGTCCAGTTTTTCTCCATTTTACCATTTCTTGGCCTTTGCTTCAACTAAATGGAGGAAAAGCACAAAGTCAGCTAAAGCTTTGCCTCTCTCACAAGTGGTAGGAGGGGAGAAGCCCTCTCTAGAACCCGTGGCACGAGGGGACCGGATCTTCCTGCTTTGGTCTAACAAATGCCAGGACCCGAAGCAGCACCACTGTTAGTAAACTTAGTTTGACTTCTGCTTATTCCCAGTTGTTATCTCCATGGTCTTTACGTATTCCTCAAGCTCATCTCTTTGAAAGCACCCTCTCCCTGAGCAGCCAGCCATGAACAGCATCACAACCGCCGTCGGCAGGTGGAGAAGGTTCTGCACACCTTGTGATTCTCACCCGATGCGTCGATGGGCCTGTCTCCTCCGTTCCCTACGCTGAGCTGCCCTGTGCTGACAGCCGGCGGGGCATGATTTCCGACATTTCTAAGTCTTCCATGGATTCAACTATTACAGATTTTAAAGATATATATTTTTTAAGATTTATTTATTTTAGACAGGGAGAGAGCGTGAGCGGGAGGGGCAGAGGGAGAGGACCTCAAGCCGACTCCATGTTCAGCACAGAGCCCGACTCGGGGCTCGATCTCACGACTTTAAGATCACAACCTGAGCCAAAACTAAGAGTCGGACACTTAACCGACTGCACCACCCAGGCACCCCTAGATGAAACTATATTAAAACATAGAGCATTTAATGATTTAAAAAAAAAAGTTACATGATTTAGAAACTTCCCGCAAGTAGTACTAAAAAGGAAATAGAGCCCCTTGAATTTCACTACCCAGATGTGCCTGCTGTTTCCTGGACGTATTCGGTTTTACCGATTTTGTGTTTTTCTTCAAAATTTACAGAAAAAAGATCCGCTCTTACAATATAAACTTGCAACTTCTTTTAAAGAAATATTAATTGATGCTTCCTGGGCTAAGCACCGTGGATGCTGTGTCTGACATTCTCATCTTTCTCTGCAATCTGAGGCTGTATTTCTAAAATCGCGATCGTACCACAGTTTAGCAACCTGTCTTACCTACTGGTGTTAGGAACACTTCCGCCATCATTGAATGGCCTTCGACGGCATGACTAGGAACAGTCATATCTATCTGTTTGCACTCCGCCCCCCTCAATTGTAAATGACGTTGTGACGAGCAGGCGTCTGCAGAGCCCGTCACTTTAGGATTTTCTAAGTGCAGCACGGCCTCCCCACAGGACGTATCTGTGCATTTTTACTGCAGATACATATTGGCAATTAATAACTGGCCACACTTACATGTCTGTGCATAGTAAATATATCTCAATAAAACCTTAACGGCATGGACAAACGGAAGCTTGCTTTTATTTTTAAAACCAGTATTTTCTGAGTGAATAATTAAGTAAATAAAATTGCTAAGAAGAATATTCAAGCGATGAGAAATAGCGCCATAACAATATTAATATTTATTGTAGCTATTTTGCAGGCACAATGCAAGTATTTTTTTCTAAATATGAATCTTAATGTTTTATTTAAGTCATGGACCAATTACCAGATTAATTTTGAAGTAACATGTTGCACGTGTTCTTCTGTCTTGTACATGTCTGTGAAAGGCATTCGACGTGTACACCTACCAGTCTTTCAAGTGCATGGGAAGAGAACTTTGTAGCTATCCCCGTCTAAAATGTAATAGAAGTCTGCTCCCATGCAGGATGCTTCCTGGGCTCTCCTTCATCTGGCATAAATGGCACACAAAGAAAACGTGCCCAGTGATCCGACAGTGGCAGAAAACTGGATGAGAAGCACTTTCATGAAGCTCTTTCTTTTTCTCATTGAGAATCGGCTTCAGGCTTGAACCTGCTGAGGAAGCAGGTGAAGTCAGGTGGCTGATTAAAGACCAGGTTCAGGAAACTGTGATGTTTTTTCTCAGCAGACTTCTGGGAATGGCAAATTTTCAGCAGAGGCACTGATCGATGAAATAGGACCAGTTGCTTGGGCGACTCCGAGTAAATGCACTTGGAAAGTAGTTTGTAGACCACTTTTCAGGCTCAGTTCATTTCCACAAAGGCTGTTTGAAGATTTAACTTGTAGCGCATCGTATCAGGAGCAAGGGGTACAAAATTAATAAGCCATGGTGCCTGTTCTCGAGGATTTTCCAGTCTACAAATCAATCCTAAAGCCTATGATACGTGGTGTGGCATTGGAGTGGGGGGAATTACTTCCGATGGACCCGGAGAAGACTTCAGAGAGGAGGGCATGCCTGAGTGAGGTTTTGAAGGGTCAGTAGGAGTTTGCAGACATTTTATATGCATCATGCTATAGCAGAGGACTTCTAGAATTTTCCACTCATAATTATGGATGCATTGCCATTACGACTAACACGCTAACTTATTTAAAGCTTTGTCTTCTCATCAATAGAATGAATATTGAAAAAATAGGAAAGCAAATGAAATATCCCACATTCCATTCCTCCGAGTGCTAATTTAATTCAGAGAGCTTCTGGATTTATGTATTTAAAAAACGTGTTCGGCGGAAAACACGGTGACACCAGTATCACATACAGAGTCCGTCCTGTGTGTGTCATATGTAGTGAGTCATTTAACCGCACGGGTAAGTCAGCTAATTAGCTTGACCTCCATTTCACAGATGAGATGGCCGAGGTTCAGAGAAACCTGCTGACTCACTCAAAGTTGTGCATTTTCCAAGTGGAGAACCAGATTCTGACCCAGGATGGTGTGGAGTCAAAGTCTGACGTTTTTTCTTACTCAGTTTGATTTGATGTATTAGCGGTTGCCAGTAAGCAGGCCACTCGCAGGCCGATCACTTAATTGCTGAATGTTCTCATAACTTTGGAGCAGCGTCTGTGGTGCTCGGTGTGTATCTTTCTGGTGTCTACTGTTCTGTCTTTGGAGATTTCACTGAAAAAATGCTTTTTCTGCGATTTTCCTGACCCTAATTTTCCTAAACTGGCAGTTTTTATGGGGGGGGGAGGGTGCTGTATTAGTTTCCTATTGCGTTGTCACGATTTACCACAAACCCAGTGGCATAAAACACACGTTTGTTGTCCTCTAGCTCAAGGTCAGAAAGCGGAAATGGGTCTCACGTGGCTAAAACCAAGATGTTGGCGGGACCGTGTTTCTTTGTGGAGGCTTCTGTGGCAAATCTGCTTCCTTATTTTCTGCCTCCTGGAGGGACCCACACTCCCTGGTTCATGGACCCTCCCATCCTCAGAGTCCGCACCGGCCGGGCCAGTCCCCACCCCCCCACCAGACACGGCAGCTCAGGGAGCTCCTCCTCTGCCTGCCTCCTCCACATGTAAGGACCCCGTGATTACACTGCCCCACCTGGATGGTCCAGGATAATCTCTCCCATTCAGGGTTAGCTGACTGGCACCCTCAATTCTAAATAGCCTAATTTGCCTTTCCCCTGAAACATTTCTAGGATCCAGGAATTAGGAACAGACATCTTTGGGGGTCATTATTCTTCCCACCTCACACCTCCCTCCGGCCCCCAGAGATTCGTGTCGGTCCCACATGCTAAACCCGTTCACTGTCTCTCAACATCCCCCTGTGTGCTGCGTATTTGTTCATTGAATTTATATATATATATACACACACACACATATATGAATGTTTATCATTTTTACACAATACATGCATACTCTGTTAACCAGCTTGCACTTGATTTTTCTCATGTGATAGATTTTTTTTCAGTCTTTTTATGTCTGTGTACACATACACACAACCCCGTATGCTTCCATTTTTTCTTTTTTTTTTAAAGGCTGGTCTTCACCGACATATCTGAGTTGTTTTCCATCTTTTGCTCTCCCTAGCAGCCTCGCTGTGCCTGTGGGTGCTACTGTTGGGCTTTAGTATCTAGAGGCTGAATTCGTAGCCATCAGATTCCAGGGGAAGAGCCATCTCACCAGAGAGAAAAAAAGAGAATCTGCTCATTTGCATTGACAGGAATAATTCTAAGGCAAATAAAAGGAAAGAAGAGTACCCTTTGAGTGACCTACTGAATCTCAGGAGGGATCGCTCGTTCGAAAAAGCCCAGTATGAACGCTCCTCTCAGGTCTGGTCTAGTTGGTGGTTTGCCAGCCAGTGTCTCTTGAAATTTTTGGTTGACCTTTGGAAGTCCCTTTGGAGTGGCTTCTGCTGAGCACATCATTTAGCTCGATCTGTGCACGCCTGATGCCTCATTCATCTGTGCTCATCAAACGTCCCTTGACTAAGCCTGTCACCGGCACAGAACAGACTTGCTCCCCGGTGAATCCTCCCACACGTCACACGCACTGTGTGTGGTTCGTAGGACAAAGAGCTGCATGCTCCCTGAAGTCATCGTGGCCTGGGTGCCCGACATCTCCCCTGGGTCCTCGGGACCACGGCACTTGCTGCTGGGATCCCCAGCCGGGCTGCATTTAACCTGCTCTTTTTCTGTCATAAATGCTCATTTCCCGGGAGCAATCAGCTTGGTTTTGATAGATGGCAGCCAGCACTATTTTTCATTTGTTAAAATGTAAAGCTAATTGATTTTAAATGGTGCTGGCACCAGGGGTCTGACATGATTAATCCCCATGTCCTGTTATGTATAATAGTGATTCCTATTCTGCTCCTCAGGTAAGCTGGATAAAATGAAACAAACACCAAAACACGGTCCCCCAAGTTGAGGGAACACGGTTTCACATTTGCTCTGGGACGGGATGGCGAGGGCTGTTTCCAAAGCTACGCTCTGCTTTGTTAACTGTCATAATTTTGCAGGTCATGGAATCCCTTTTGGAATCATCTTTGGTGGAACTGATTTAAATGAAGATGTTAACCAGAGAGAAAAAAATGACGTGATGGGAAAGGTCCTCGAAGAAGCCAGGTAATGCCAAAGAGAACCTCACAGGAGTTAAGCATTTGGGGGGAATTCGCTGAAACCAAAAGATTAGGAAGGCTGTTGTTTGGGAGATTCCCATCTTACCATAATAAAGCCAGTCTCTTTTTCTCATTTCATTTTTTTCCTTTCATTTGCACATTTTAATTTTGCCACGAAGAGTCACGGTAAACAACTTATTGTACGGGAATAACTGTTCAGCGACAGTTCACTTTGGGCCAACCTCCTTAGTAGTCCTGCCGGGGGGAAGGCGCCGCACTGTGGTCCGCTTAGGGAACAGCACACAGCGACTCCAGCTCCTTGAGCACATGCATCAGCATCGACTCTGAATGTTTGGGGCCTGGCTCTGAGCTCCGTGGATTTCTGAGCTCTGTAAAACCGTCTGGGAGGGGGTCACTGTGGGCATTTGGGGCAGGACAGTCATTCATCGTGGGGGCCCTGCTGCACGTCCCGGAGCCCAGCTGGTCACTCCCCGTCGGCAACACCTGCCGGCCGCTGCAGCTGCAGTCGGACATGTTTCTAGCCCCTGGGGTGGGGAGTTGCTGCCCCAGTCCAGAATCCAGAGCTGCACTCCCCAACGTTTCCCTTGTCCGGCATACTTAGAAAATCATATTTGTACAGCATTGTGAACTAGAAGGACAGGAGGGGAAAAATCACCCCCATTCCTCTGTAACATGAAGATAATCATAATACTTAACATAATAATAACAGTATAGAAATCCTCTATGTCCATATGAAAGTTGTTTAAAAAGAAGAAGTCAAAACAAAACCCAAATAGTCACTTGGCCTAAAGCCAAGAGCTCTTCTGTTCATCAGTGAAGAGGCGACTGGCAGGCTTCCTGGGGTGATTCCCCAGAAGGGTAGAGACAGTGCCATGTGGTCTGTCCCTCCCGGGGCACAGAGCAAGTCTTATCTGACCGTGGAATCACCCTGAATCCAAAGTTTACCAAGACCTCAACCTCTCAGCTCTTGTAAATTTTTGAATCGTTGTAAAAAAAACAAAACAAAACAAAAAAAACAAAGCAGGCGATCGATTTTTTTTTTTTTGATGTGGACAAACTGCTTTATTAGTTATTTAAAAAACCACTTGGTTGGGGCGCTTGGGTGGCTCAGTCGTTAAGCGTCTGCCTTTGGCTCAGGTCATGATCCCGGGGTCCTGGGATCAAGCCCCGCATCGGGCTCCCTGCTCCGCGGGAAGCCTGCTTCTCCCTCTCCCGCTCCCCCTGCTTGTGTTCCCTCTCTCGCTGTGTCTCTGTCAAATAAATAAATAAAATCTTAAAAAAAAAAATAAAAAACCACTTGGTTGAGGCATGACTGACATGCAAAGAGCTGTATTTAATGTATGTAAACAGCTCGATGAGTTTGAAGATGAGTCTCCGTCAGTGAAACCATCATCAGGGTCTGTGGCATAAACACCTCTGTCCCCTCCGAGAGCTTCCTCCCACCCTCTCTGTTACTATTATCATGACAAGCACACTTAACATGAAATCTACCCTCTTCACAAACTCCTAAGTGTCCCTTACGGCATCCTTAACTGAGGAGGCCTCCAGGACCTGCTCACCTTGTACAAGTGAAACCTCGTGCCCTTGGATGAATCTCTTCCTGTTCCTGTCTCCCCCGGCTCCTGGCCACCACCATCCTACTGTCTGCTTCTAGGAGTTGGACTATTTTAGATTCTCACATCAGTGGGATCATACAATATTTGTCCTTCTATGTCTGGCTCACTTCGCTGAGCATCATGTCCTCCAGGTTCATCCGTGTGGTTGCAAATGGCAGGATTTCCTCTTTCTTCAAGGCTCAATGATATTCCAGTGTACGTGTTTACTACACTTTCTTTATCCATTTGTCTGTCCATGGACATTTAGGTTGCTCCCATGCCCCCCGGTGAATGGCCAACCACGAAATGTCTGTGGCTCCTCTCTAACCCTCTCACGGCTGAGAAGTGTGGTCAGGGAATCCAGAACTCTGCGTCTTTCTGTTCCTGGAGCATTCCTGATCCTTTACAAAGGATGCACTCCAGGTTCTAGGGTACAGCCCAAGGCAACCCCATCCCCTTTTCCTAAGGCGGGAGTCAGTCTTGCTCCTGAAAACTAGGGTTACTGTGGGATATAATTCCATTTCAGGACCCACTTCTTCCTGAGAACTTCCTGGACATAAATGTGGCCATACAACCTTGTCCAAATAAAGTGCGCCAGTGTGCGCATCAGATGGAGAGACAGAATTACAGTAAACAAAGGTAGACAGAGTTTGGGTCGATCTTGAAACGTGATCTGCCATGATAGGTTTTCTCGATGTTGTTGCTCTTAGACTCTGAAAATTAATTACCTTTTGATTCATGCAGTTTGCACTGTCTTACGGAAGGGAAATAATTCTGCTAGGTAGAAACGATATTGAATGAATTCATCTTATGGATTATTGTTAGCATTATTCATTGCATTGTTATTAAAACACATTGATTTTCATTTGGGAGGAATATTGATTGAAGTCAGTGGGCAGGGAAGTCAGATAAATCCTAGATTTCTTGTCAGACAGCGTATGGCATACTTTTCTGTAAGATAAAGTATTGAACTTGTCTCGCTTTATAATGAGTTTCATTTTTAATCAAATACTTTTAAATAGTTACATTTTTCTTATGAGGTATATTTTTGAACTTTTTTTGTATTTAAAACTTTTTTTCTGTATGATATAGTATTGAAATTACTTCAGCATCAGCTTTTTGGCTTGTATTATAATATGATAAGTATTTGGTAATTATGAATACCAAATTAGGTAAGGAGTTTGAAACTTGTGGAGGTTGTTTTGTGAAGGATCATCCGGGTGCACCTTAGAAAAATTTAATATTGCCCACAAATGAGCAAAAGAGAGTTTATATGAAATAAATTGCCTAAGAAATAGTTTCACAACTAGGAAATATATAGCACATGACAGGTTAGACCATGTGAAATTGTAGGTCAAAATGGCTCAGTATCAGTCATTTCATACGGTTGTTCCTGAAGATTTTTTTGACCAACAAAATCACATGTGAAAGTGAGTACATTTTGAAATGGCAATATTCATCCCACAGGGCAAAAGTGGTAGTTTTGCATTTTTTGCTAAGAAATGTGCTATTTTTAATTTATTTTCTGAGGATTGTGGGGTCAGAAACCCTCTTATTGGTCATCTCCTAGGTAGGTGCGTATAAACCCAGGGCCGGGGTCTCTGTAGGGAGGGGCCGCAAGGACGAAGGTGTTACCTGCCACTCCAGGATAAACGGAAACGAGCAAGCTCACTCGGTCTGCCCACTGACTCCCGAAACGTGTCCGTGTGCACTCTTCCTGATGAAGGCCTCTCCGAGGCTCTCCTTGTCCGCTCTGGTCTTCAGCCGGGCCGTAGATCCCCGATGCCTAGTCCGGCGCGAACGGGGCATGCCGGCGGACAGGATGACGGGCTGGGGACAGTAACAACAGCTGCTGGGTGAGGGTGCCCAAGCGCCCTCTTCCGCGGTCAGCACCATGCACCTGATCTTCCTTCTTCCCTTGCTCTGACCCACGTCCTGTTGGAATGTGAGGCAGGACTCCCATCCGTGCGCTTGTTCATTTATTCAGTCTGTGGGCATTTTTGCCTGCCTGCTGGGTGCCAGGCAGGACTCCAGGAGCTGGGGGAGTCACAGCGCACAGAGCGACATCCCAGCCCACGCGGGGCAGGCGTGGGGAGGCGGTCATGCTTGCCAAAGGAGCGGATCAACCTTCCATGAGCCATCCTCAGGCTGCACTGTGCATTTATCTAGAGACGCGGTTATGGGGTGAAAGGCGTGATCCTCTTGTCATTGACCTTATTCTGTGCTCCCCAGTTTTTCTCTACTTTTGGGGTCTCCTCTTTTTTTTCTTTTCTTTTCTGTAGGTTTGAAGCTGTCCAGTAGTCTGGTCGCTGGCCACGTGGGGTGCTCGAACCCCTTGCGGAAGTCATGGCGGTGGTGTTAGTCCTGGTAGAAAACAGTAACAGGAAATATCCGTTGGGCGTTGAATTCCCTGGGGACCAGGAGCCGCGGTGGCAGCTCACACACACCGTGCTCCTTGGTGGCGCCTCACAGTTTCCCACGAAGGAAGGTCCCTGCACTGTCCTTGCATTACGCCGTAGCTCTGGCTCAGAATACTTTGTTCGTGCTCCCTGCCCACGTCCAGGGGCTCGGGGAGCGTCTCACGAGGGATGCGGGCACACCCATCACCGCTGGGTCAGCCCACACCAGCTGCGTGCGGGACACGGGGCGTGAAGGTGGCCCCGGTGCAAGGGGTTATGCCCTCGGTGCCTCCCCACCCCTCTTTGTCACGCCCACACAGAAGACAAGAGGTTTCCTCTTTCCTCCATTCACTCCTCCTTAAATCCGGGGCGTGTGAATGCCTGGCGGGGATGGGTGGAAGGTGGTGGGGAGGGAAGGCTCGGAGAAGACAGGCAGGGGAAGGGGGGCTCCGGAGCCTACCCTTTGGGGTGGGAAGGAATCGACTGTTATGGCTTCTTGGTCGTGACCACTGTTACTGTGGAGTCTGCCTCGTGGGGATTTTCCATTTCCACTACTCCTTCTGCATTTATTCACTGGAATTCTGAAATGAAGAGCTGTTCCTGTTGGTCCCCTGTGCTAGTCACTTCTTTGTGTATATCAGTATGGACACGTGGGTATTTATTTTACTCTATGGCGTACCTGTCACTGTAATGTATTTGGGCACTCAAATCATCCCTGCCTTGGCCACGGTAGATGCTTTGAGCTGACTCTGGTCTTCTCCCAGCCTGCCCTCACCAGTTTCGAGCAATTTCTTACTGCCTGGCCACCATAAGATGACGTTCCTGGTTCATCCCATGTGTATCCGGCCTTACTTCTGGAAACAGCCATTGCTTGATAAATGTATACATTAACATTCCTGATCCATGTGCGTTCGGTGAATTTTGGGACTACTTTACCACAGCCTTCCCGCAGTGAAGCTAGTGGACTGGAGAGCCAGTCCTCGGATGTTCCGAGTGGATTAACTAAATCCTCTGCATCTCTCCTGCATCTGGCTTTCTGACTTTTTCCCTGCTTCTCTGACCTTGCATGGAAGGAACAACAACAAAAAATTGAAATGTGGAGCTCCATGTGTTTATTTCATGCATATACAACTTGTTTTGATGTGAGTGGAGACTGAACCGGAGAGCCACTGACCGCACGTGATGAAGATGGATGGCATTTGAAATTCAGCTTCTTACCTTGTCTCTCACAATTTGTTCCAAAGAGCTGTTCCCTAGTTAATTGAATTCTGCCCTAATTGTTTTCCTTATTTTTGTTCATCTTACTAGATTTGCTGTCGCTTTCACAGAGTCAATGAAGGAAACGGCGCAGACACAGTGGGTACGTGTTGATTTTGCTGTCATGCTGGCTGAGCTGGGGAGGTGGCAGGGGGAGCTGGGGAGGTGGCAGGGGTGAGGGCTGCCGGGCACTTGGATGGGAACAGACAGTGTTTCTGTTGTGGCCACAAGAGTGTATGATGCCTCTCGCATACGGATGGTTTTTTAATTTGTGTAGATACTCTTAAGACTTGACTGATTTTTTTTTTTTTTATATTGCTGCCGAACAGCAAAAATAGCCCAATCGCCGAATCTTTTTATGTTCTGTTTTCTTTTGATGTGCTCAGAATGGGTGATTTCCAGGCTCTGCTCTAAAGGTTGCAGCCACCCCACGTGCATGGAGAGCAGTGATCTTTTCGGTGGTAGATGTAGTTTGCAAGGCTGGACTATTTATCCGAAGAGCTTGCAGGAGAAGAGGACTTTGTAGCTCTATGTTAGGTCCCTTACTGACTCTGACTCGTGGTGACTTGGTGGCAGGTGGATGAGCCAGTGGGAGCTGAGCTCTCAGCGGGGAGTGAGGGAAGCCGCGGTAGGGCTGGCATCTGCAGAACAGAAATGGCCAACCCACGGGCCACTTTGCCCGGCAACCCATGAGCATGAGACTCTGCTGTTCGCCAGCGCTGTGGGTCCCCATGCGGGGCCAGCTCATCCGCTGTGCCCCCACGTATGCCCTTACCACTTGTCGGCATTATTCCTGTCGGGGTGTTGTACAGGTTCTGTACTTTGTGTAGAATTTCGATCTGTAAAATCTAGCGCATGGAGACTGCTGCGTGGGGCGAGGGCGCATGCAGTGCTCTGTGGGCCCGGTGGTCCCTGAGCAAGCCTCCAACCACTGCGCGTGTGCAGATGCATTCTTCCCTATGGCCAGAGCACGCCTACCTCCTTCTTCACATCAAACATTCCCCAGGGAAGAACTGAGGGCAATTTAATAAACTGAAAATCTCAGAATAACAAATGACAAGCTTCCTGGTTTTCTGTTGTACCAGTTTGACTGGGCAGTGTCAGCATGGGGATCCCTGTCTCTTCCCGGGCCCCCACAATGCAAGCCTGTTTGCATCATAACACAGAGACAGTGTTTGCCTTCCTCACCTTTGGGAACTCCGTAAAACCGCCAACCCTTCATCCTAATGAAGGCAGCGGCACCCATCTGAGCCAATCCTTGATTATTCACACCACCCCTTGTAGTTAAAAACAAAATCACTTTAAGATCTCCTTGCTGAAGCCATAAACAATTTTCTTAAATATTAACCTTTGAATACATGTGTTCTGAATGTTCCGTGTCATGACACAGGAAGTGTGCATACTGCTGTCTGCTGCAATTCTGGATGAGGTATGGCATTTACCTAGAGGCTCTCATGTGCTTGAGTCGCAAACTGAACCAGATACATCTTCACACGATTTTGTATCCGAAAGAATAACTGGCAGGCAAACTGGTGATTCGGATGTGGGCATCTGTTAGACAGTTTCTTAAAAATGAGTGGATCAAGCCAGTTACATTAAGCAAAACCACTGGCGATAATGTTTGCATTGTTGAGCAACTATGAGAACTTTGGAAAGCACCCTGTGGTCAGCAGCATCCCCAGGCGTAAAGACCTCCCTGGTGAGATCAGCAGTCATATGAACAAGCGGGATTTTTGTGTTGATGTTGTGTAATGACACGCTTCGTCATTTGGAAGATCTGCATGACTCAGTGAACCTGGTCCGCCGTCCCTCGTGAGGTTCTGCAGCAGGAGAGAGCAGGCACCAGGGAGAAAGCCTTCTTGGAACTTGTGCTTGATTAATGTTTGCTCCTGTCCTCATGGCCCAAGCAAGTCGAGGAGTGGGGATACAGTCATCCTCATAATGGGAGGGTCTTCGAGGTGGCTCTGCAGGGGCGCGGATGTGGGGGGGGGGATGCACTTGGTGCTTGTCCTGGCCTTCACCCTATGTGGTCGTGAGCTCCTTGAGGACAGCGACAAAGTGGGGTTCACTAGTGCATCCCCAGAGGGTAACACACATCCTCGTGTTCAGTAAATATTTGTTGAATTTACCAGGGATGGACCCTTTTATAGAACTTTTTATTACAGAAATTTCTACACATAAGCAAAAGTAGCAAGAACAGAAGGGTACACTGTACCCACCACCTGCTTAAATTCTTCCATTCTTACTTAACCTACTGTCATTCTCCCCCTGGCACAGGCACACACACATGCACACATACACGCACACGCAGGCATGCACTCGCGCGCACACACACGCACACGTAGGCATGCACTCATGCACACACACACACACAAACATACACGCACACGCAGGCATGCACTCACGCACACACACACGCACACATACACGCACACGCAGGCATGCACTCACACACACGCACACATACACGCACACGCAGGCATGCACTCACACACACACATGCACACACTCAGACATGCACACACGCACGCACACACTTATTTTTTGGAATATTTTTTTAAAAGTTACAGCCATCGTGCCATTTTACCTGTAAATGCACTTTGATAAAGATTTCTTTAACTTAAGTACCAGGTTCTGGATAAATTTTTGTGTGAAAAGACCGAAGCACGTAAGGAAGAAATAAAGTGGGACTCAAGGATATCAACATGATTTAAGATTTTTATCAATACATTTTGGAAGAACTCCAGTGAAGGAATTTGGAAAGGGAGAGGAGTGGACTCTTCGAGTCCCAGACGCACTGAATTAGAGACACCTACTGGACTCAGGTGTAACTATGGGGACCGCAGCTGCGGTGTGAGGCTGGCCTCGGGAGAGGGCGCTCGTGGAGGTTCGGAGCCCGAGTCAGCGGTGCAAAGTGGTCACTGACCTGGAACAGTTCTTCCTCCGTGAGCTGCTCTTTCAGGCAGTGAGAAGGGAACTAGCCCAAGTGCATGGAGCAGCCCAGCCCAGGCGGGTGGGACCGTAGTGGTGAGGATGTGCCTGTGGAAGGGCCATCTTCTGTCTCGGAGCCAAGTCCGCCCTTCGCTGTCACTCAGACGCGCTGGGTGATCCTGGGTCAGGGGTCTCTGTTTTCAGAAAGATACTCTTCCAAGTATCTGACAAAGCATTAAAAAAAGAAGAAAAAAAAAAACGTCGAGCAGGCAGCAAAAGTTTAGTCTTCGGTGATGATGGAAGAGACACTATAATAAAAGCTAATGATAAGGAAAGGGTGTTTCTGGTTTTAGAGTTTATAGCGGTGGGGGTTAGTTATTAGATTCGAGTCTGAGCCTGTTTTTTTAATACAGCTTTCTGTCCTTTTTTTGGTGAATGATTTTTCAATAAAGTTCTTTTCAATACCTTTATCCGATTAGTTTTTACAAATAAAACGTACATATAAATAATGTAAAGCTTCATTATTCAGCCACATTTGTATAATTATTTTAGATGGATTTTTGTAGAGAGATGATTTTTACTTATGTATTCCGCACAGCGATGTTTCTTGAGTAATTAAGTTTGGCTCTTCGTTATCGAATTGCCAGCTTTTGTTCTTAATTTTGTGTTCTTTGTTTTAGGGAGCAGGCCTGACTCAAGGTGTCATTCAGTTAATCCCACCTAATTATTATCAAATCAGAATCAAATTTCAATAATCCCAGATTAGAAAGATTTATGGCATTTGCTTCTTATTGCACAGGACTCACTGATGGTTATTCTACTCATGGTTACAGTTTATTCTAGGGAAGTCATAGACTTTATCAGGCTAGAATCAGCCACGTGGAAAACTGTGTGGGGCAAACGCACCCTTGCTTTCTTCCCCGTGGAGTCAAGCCATTCTACCCTCTGGTTATTGATCTGAGACAATATCGGCAGAGGATTACAAGCCAGAGAAGCTTACTCAAGCTGAGCATCCAACATTTTTATTGGAGCTTCATTCTGTAGGCTTGACTGATTGGTTAACTGCCCACGGTTGAAGCCAGTGTCCAAGTAGACAGATGCCACTTGACTCCAAGTCCCCACCCTAAACTTCGTGGGTGGTTTTGTGGTATGGCCAGCCATACCAATGGTTGGGACTGACCCCACCCTAAACAAAGACACTCCTATCAGGTCTCACGCAAAGGCCAACTTCTTTTTTTTTTTAATTTTTTTATTGTTATGTTAATCACCATACATTACATCACTAGTTTTTGATGTAGTGTTCCATGATTCATTGTTTGTGCGTAACACCCAGTGCTCCACGCACAACGTGCCCTCTTTAATACCCATCACCAGGCTAACCCATCCCCCCACCTCCCTCCCCTCTAGAACCCTCAGTTTGTTTTTCAGAG